GTATGTGTGTGTTAGTCCATGTGTGTGTTAGTCGATGTGTGTGCATGGCTCCATCTGAGTGTGTAAGTCAATGTGCGTTTGTGTGTCTATCGATGTGTGTGTGTATGTCGATGTGTATGTGTGTCAGTCCATATGTGTGTGTGTTAGTCCATATGTGTGTGTGTTAGTCCATGTGTGTGTAAGTCCATATACATGTGTGTGTCACTCGATGTGTGTGTGTAAGTCAATGCGTTTGTGTGAGTCGATATGTGTGTTAATCCATGTGTGTGTATCTAAAGTAGATGTCTGTGTGTCGCAGTCCATGTGTGTAGGGCAATGTGTGTGTCAGTCTATGTATGTGTAAGTCCATGTGTGTGCGTCTTAGTCAATGTGTGTGTGCAAGTACATGTGTGTGTGTGCAAGTACATGTGTGTTTACGTCAATGTGTGAGTCCACGTATGTCTGTGTGCGAGTCGATGTGTATGTCGATATATGTGTGTAACTCCATGTGTGTGTATCTAAAGTGGATGTCTATGCGTGTGTGAGTCCACATGTGTGTAAGTCCATGTGTTTGTGTGTGTGAGTCGATATGTCTGTGTATGTCAGTCCATGGGCGTGTGTGTTAGTCGCTTTGCATGCGTGGCTCCATGTGAGTCAGTGTAAGTCCATTTCTTTGCGTGTCTGTAGGTCCATGTGTGCATGTGAGTAAATGTATGTGCTTTATTGACCTGCTCAAGGCCTATGATACCATCAGTAGGCCTGGCCTCTGGGTTGTTCTTCATGCTTTTGGAGTCCCTAACCCTTTGCTCACGATCCTTAAGGACCTTCATAATGGTGAGCGGCCCTGCGTCAAACTACGTGGCAGTCAGAGCCATTCCCTCTACACCTTGGGGTGTGATAGGGATGTCCTCTAGCTCCCACATTACTTAACATATCTTTTGACCATGTAGTTCGTGAAGCCTTCAATAGCTGTACCGGAGGAATTCACATCTGGTACAGATACAATGGGAGGCTGATCGATGCCCAGGTGCCGTGAAGGGATGGCTCCCTATTGCTCAACCATGTTATGTATGCCGATGCTCTGGTGATTGCTGGTCACTCAGAGGATGCGTGGGAGGCACTGCTGCTGAACCTGGAGTTTGCCACTAAGAGTTGGGGCCTTACCATCAGCTCCACCGAAATTAAGCACCTGCCTGGGTATTTTGTACCATCGCCAATCCAACCCCACAACTCACAATTGGTGATGCGGCAGTTGTGGAGAGATTGGAGAGATTCCCATACCTGGCCAGTGTGCTCATGACCGGCTCTGGTTTAACAGCAGAGGTCTCACTCCAAATTAGTCGAGCTCCATTATCTTTTCATCGGCTGCGTTACGCTGTGTAGAAGCTACCTGGTCTCTCGCTCCGCATCAAGCTCCAGGTCTTCTTGGCCACGGTAATACCCTCCCTTCTCTACGCTTGTGAAGCGTGCACCCCCCGTAATGGAACATCTTCACTGGTTAGAAATATTTAGGCTGGCCTGCTAATGATCCATCCTGGATTTAACCATGTGTGTGTGTGCGTCTAAGTCGATGTGTTTCTATGTGTATGGGTCGATGTCTGTGTGTAAGTCCATGTGCGTGTCTGCCTTTTTCGCCCGGGCAACGCTGGGTACTTACCACTAGTGTTAGATAAATATTGCAGTCTGTGGTGCAATTTGGTGTTTGTGGTGCAGTGTGTAGCGGTAGTGTAATGGTTAGCACGTTGCAATACGAACCCGGTGTTCAGTGAAGATTATCTGAACTGATCCTGGGCTTCCCCTAAGTCGACTCAGCCTCAAATGAGTGCTTGGTGCACTGTGTGAACATCACCACTGAGAAGACAAAGGTGGTCGGGAGTGGTGCTGGCCACCCACCCCCTCGTGTGCCGTTCCGGCCTTCATAGGTGCTCACTAACAAAACTTGCCCTAACAGTCCGTTAAGGCTATACGGGGGATCTTCGTAGTGTATTGTGTGGTTTATAATGCAAAGCTCATCGGATTATTCCAGTCTCAATGAAGATTCTGATACTGAAAGCTGTTGGTCAATCTGCCTCTTCTCCCAGTGCAAGGACAGGTTTTGCCAACATACTATTCACCAGGTTAATCCACGGCTATGCAAATATCACCAATCACAGCATTGTGGGTTCAGCACTCTGGTGAAATGTAGCAGCCACCCTGATTAGCAAGACAATGCAAGTCGTGAGTCTGTCTTGAAAACGCACTTCTTTAAATTAGCCTTAACTCGGTCTTGATTTGAAGCTTTCGTGACTGCAGGAATCCATACTTTCTGGTTCTTTCGGTAAAGTCACATATATATAAAATAATTAAAGAAAACACTACGTTTCAGTCACAACACAAGCGTCCGTTTTCAGGTGAGAAAATTATCTGCTGTTGTGGCTTTATATAGGCACGGGGGGGGGGGGAAGGAGTTTTGTCGAGTCGTGGTTGTAGGAGTTAACGGGGGAGAGGGGGGGTTTGTGGCGTGCAGTGAAGGGTGGGGGCTGGCACAGGGGGAGAGTTTGTGGCGTGCAGAGACGGGTGGGGCTAGAGAAATTAGCAAGTAAAGGAGCTCGAATTAGTAATTGGACAAGAAACACGGGTGGGTGAGTGAAAATCATAGCAGTTAAAACTTGACGCGGTTTATCACATCCTTCAAACAAAAACAGACAAAACTTTAATCGAGAAGATGGATTCAGATTGAGCCATCATTAATTTTCACCATTTACTTTGATTCTGAGAATGTGGGTCAGTCAGCGGGTGGGGTGGCCGTGTGAATGGGTGAGTAGGTGAGCAAGTGGGTGATTGAGTGCGCGAGTGGGTGAGTAAATGAGTTGGTGAGTGTGTGGGAGCTAATGGGTGATTGAGTGGGTTAGTGGGTGAGCAAATGAGTGGGGGATTGAATTGGTGAATGAGTGAGCGAGTGGGCAAAATGGCCTTGATCTCACCCCCAGTTCTGGTCGTTTAACCTGCAGGTTCTGCGTATTTCCTGATTTCCATACACAGGCGCATTGGTGGGATCTACAGATGAAATGCGCCACTTGACCAATGTATCTATGGGATATTTTTGGCAGTATCAAAAATGATGAAAAAGTAGGAATAGGCTTTATCCTTTCTGACAATAAAACATAAGGTGTTAAGATGTTCAAACACCAAATAGCATTTGCAAGGAATTAAGTCCGCATTAACCACACGTACTTGTGGCAAAACCTGGAAACAAACATGCTCTGAAAATATATCCATTGTTCTCGAAACTGATTGGTTTACACTAGATACATCCCATCCTTCTTTATGGCCTTGTCTCACCAGTGTTAGACCAGAAAACGCCAAACACTAATAGCTCGGGTAGGGCAGAGTATGAAAAATAAGAATAGGTGTTTGGATGTAAAACACTAAATAGATACCTTTTGCAAGGCATCAAGTCTGCATTAACCACAAAACATTTTGGAAAAATAGACTTAGGCTAAGAAATTCACAAATAATAAATACATACAAATTAAGTGTACGAGTCCAAACTGCAAACAAGCCACATTTTGCAAGGTATCAACAAGTCAGCATTACTCTTTGTTTTTTTCGGTAAAGTCACGTAGGCAAAATAAAATAAATGAAAACTCAATTAAATCACGACGTTTCGGAGGCAACACTAGCTTCCGTCTTCAGGTGGAAACCGTTACAGCAAAATTGCAAGGTGTTAGGATGTTCAAGCAAAAATGCTGACGGTTTCCACCTGAAGACGGAAGGAAGCTTGTGTTACCTCCGAAACGTCGTGATTTAATTTAGTTGCTTTCCTTTATTTTATTTTACCTACGTGACTTTACCAAAAAAAACAAAGAGTATGAATCCTTGCAGTCACGAAAGCTTCAAATCTAGAAGTCAGCATTAACCACATCGTGCTCATGGTATACAGTATTTTACCACAAGTATCAAGTCGGTATTAACCACATGCATTTTTTTGTTTACAAGGCTATTTGTCCATAGATCTACTCTTTCGTTGTCTGACTTGTTATTAAACCACTGGACAATCTAAAAAATGCGAAGCACATCTGATTGTCTGCGAGTGAGTCTCTGCGTGAGTATGTGGGTCTCTGTGTGAGCGAATGGATTTTATGTGAGTTAGTATGAGTCTGTGTAGGTCAGTGTGTGAGCCTATGGATTTCTGTGCGTCTCTGTGTAAGTCTGTGCGTGTCTGTGCGAGTCTGTGCATATCTGTGAGTCTGTACATATCTGTGAGTCTTTGCGTCTCTCTGTGCGAGTGTGTCTGTGCAAGTGTCTTTGTGCGAGTCTGTACGTGTCTGAATGAGTCTGTGCGTCTGTAAGTCTGTGCATATCTGAGTCTGTGCAAGTGTTTTTGTGGGAGTGTGGGTCTCTGTGTGAGTCTGTGTCTCTGTGCAAGTCCGAATGACTTACGGTAATAGTTTTCCAGGTTTCACGCAATTTGGATCAAAATAATATAGCTTCCCAAACTTGTTTGTAACCACGCAGTTTAGTCTCTTGGCATCCCCATTCTGCCATCTGTCCTCATTTAAACCGCCTCTATTATTAAAATTACTAAAGTTTAAGTGCGTATAACTTTACATCATTGCTATTATCATTACGTTGCTTTGCTGTTGTCTGTCCTTGAAAACGAGTTTCTTAGCTCAATGGACTTCACGCGGGAAACGAACTTCCGTCCCATCTCTGAAATGGAATCGTTGACTCAATCGGGAATACGTGCAGAAGCATCGGAGCCCCGAGTGCAGAAAGTCGTCAGAAGGCTCCTGAACTCGAGTATCGACACATTGTGAGGTAGGTTAATACAATAAAGACAATAAAACAATTCAAGCAAATCAATCAGGCAAGGGCAGGAGGCAACCCCTGCATGGCTAGGCCCCACATCGTACTGTTGCAATGTCACAACCTGGACATCGATCCATAGCTGCTACTCAATTGATGTCCCTACGAGAGAAAGAACAAACCAAGCTTTACCTGGGTAAACAACTATAACAACCACGATGTCAACATCTCACCTCGGATCAAACTGAGTAACGAGCAGAGCGCTGCGGCTCCTGGAGTTTCGTGACGTCACGCGGAAACGTGTCGGTGATTACATGACGTCACTGGTGAAGGACACTCTTACCGCATAGATTATGTTAATGACTTATTCAATATATGGGCGTGGCTTTGCCGACATGAATTTACCAGGAACGGGAATCGGCAGTGAGCAAGCTGACATGACGTCACGTACCGATGGCGTCACGCTGAGTGGTTACGTCAGAGAGCGAGGCAAGTCATGCTGAGTGTTGTTTTAGAGTCTAAGTTTCTTTAGATTTCTTTCGCATTTCTCCTATTTTACAGAGATCATTAGGGTGCGTGAGCTCAACAACCTGAATATTGCTGTAGGAAACGAGTACAGTGCAGGGTCCTTAAGGAATATTGCACAGCTGTGAGTGTTGTGTGTACACTGTGCAGTGTGTACACTCTATGTATGTACAGGCCGTGCTGTGTGTACATTGTGTACTTACGCTGTATACAGTGTCTGCATACATTGTGGGCTGTGTGTGGTCTGTGTAGTGCTGCTCATTAGAGGGAATGAGGAGCGAGGGAGCAAGAACAAAATGCCGGGAGGGGGGAGAAAGTGAGCGGGCTGGGAGTGGGAAGCTGAGGAAATCTGGAGATGCGGATATGAAGACAAGACCATAACGCAGTTAAGGTTTTACCTGGTTAATAACATCCATTTTTTATAGTAGCCCGAACGTTTGCAGAGCACCTTGGTCTGGGAAAAAACAATGAGAGCCCACAGCGTTATAGCATGAAGCCATCCAGATATATAAACAGACATAACTTCAACCGAGAAGATGGAAGGATGTTATTAACCAGCTAAAACCTTAACTGCGTTATGGTGTTGCCTTCATATCCGCATCTCCAGATTTCCTCAGCTTCCCACTCCCAGCCCCGCTCACTTTCTCCTCCCTACCCCCCCCCCCCCGGCATTTTGTTCTTGCTCCCTCGCTCCTCATTCTCTAGTGAGCAGCACTACACTCCTCTTACCCCACAACCCCCTCTCTCTCTCCTGGCTCCCTCGCTCCTCATTCCCTCTAGTGAGCAGCACTACCCTCCTCTTACCCCACAACCCCCTCTCTATCTCCTGGCTCCCTCGCTCCTCATTCCCTCTAGTGAGCAGCACTACACTCCTCTTACCCCACAACCCCCTCTCTCTCTCCTGGCTCCCTCGCTCCTCATTCCCTCTAGTGAGCAGCACTACACTCCTCTTACCCCACAACCCCCTCTCTATCTCCTGGCTCCCTCGCTCCTCATTCCCTCTAGTGAGCAGCACTACACTCCTCTTACCCCACAACCCCCTCTCTATCTCCTGGCTCCCTCGCTCCTCATTCCCTCTAGTGAGCAGCACTACACTCCTCTTACCCCACAACCCCCTCTCTATCTCCTGGCTCCCTCGCTCCTCATTCCCTCTAGTGAGCAGCACTACACTCCTCTTACCCCACAACCCCCTCTCTATCTCCTGGCTCCCTCGCTCCTCATTCCCTCTAGTGAGCAGCACTACACTCCTCTTACCCCACAACTCCCTCTCTATCTCCTGGCTCCCTCGCTCCTCATTCCCTCTAGTGAGCAACACTACACTCCTCTTACCCCACAACCCCCTCTCTATCTCCTGGCTCCCTCGCTCCTCATTCCCTCTAGTGAGCAGCACTACACTCCTCTTACCCCACAACCCCCTCTCTATCTCCTGGCTCCCTCGCTCCTCATTCCCTCTTGTGAGCAGCACTACACTCCTCTTACCCCACAACTCCCTCTCTATCTCCTGGCTCCCTCGCTCCTCATTCCCTCTAGTGAGCAACACTACACTCCTCTTACCCCACAACCCCCTCTCTATCTCCTGGCTCCCTCGCTCCTCATTCCCTCTAGTGAGCAACACTATACTCCTCTTACCCCACAACCCCCTCTCTATCTCCTGGCTCCCTCGCTCCTCATTCCCTCTAGTGAGCAGCACTACACTCCTCTTACCCCACAACTCCCTCTCTATCTCCTGGCTCCCTCGCTCCTCATTCCCTCTAGTGAGCAACACTACACTCCTCTTACCCCACAACCCCCTCTCTATCTCCTGGCTCCCTCGCTCCTCATTCCCTCTAGTGAGCAGAACTACACTCCTCTTACCCCACAACCCCCTCTCTATCTCCTGGCTCCCTCGCTCCTCATTCCCTCTAGTGAGCAGCACTACACTCCTCTTACCCCACAACCCCCTCTCTATCTCCTGGCTCCCTCGCTCCTCATTCCCTCTAGTGAGCAGCACTACACTCCTCTTACCCCACAACCCCCTCTCTATCTCCTGGCTCCCTCGCTCCTCATTCCCTCTAGTGAGCAGCACTACACTCCTCTTACCCCACAACCCCCTCTCTATCTCCTGGCTCCCTCGCTCCTCATTCCCTCTAGTGAGCAGCACTACACTCCTACCCCCTCTCTATCTCTCCTCCCTGGCTCCTCCCCCCCCTCTCTTACCTATATAGCAGGGGTCTCAAACTCGCGGCCCGCGGGCCAACTGCGGCCCGCGGAACGATATTTTGTGGCCCCCTACTCGACGTAAATTTTTATTTTATTAATTATTATATATTTTTTACCATAGCTCAGGCTCGTGACAGCTTCCGGTGTTTGTTGACAAGTTAGCCAACGCGAATTAGCAACGTTAGTCACTTGGTTGAAACGTGATTCCAGAGTGACACCAAGTGGAAGGAAAATATATCCTGTCACCCAGTGCAAGGTACAGAGGACTTAGGAAGTGGGCGGACTCAACAAGAGTAATCAGTGACCTAATAAAGACAACAGAGTGTTGCAACAGGAAAGGGAATATAATTACATGGATAGCAAATAGCATGAGATGGGTGGCAAGAACAAAAGCCAAATGGTGGTTGGAACCTGAATATTATAAAGAAGAAGTTATAGATTATTATTACAAGAGAAACAAAGACAAGGAAAAAGGACAGATGTGCAATCGCAAAAGAAAACGAATTTACCAAGAACAATTTAATCAAAAAGAGCGAGAAATTAAAAGATATAAAACATGAGACAATGCACTTGATGTTAAGAATTAAGACAGGTGGAGTAACATGGACACCAGAGTTAGCTCAATTGCATTCAGAGAGATTTGGTAGAGCAGAAGGATATGTAGGACGTAAACAAAAAGAAGAAAATCTAGATCACTTTATGAATGTGAAAGGTATAAACACCTGAGAGAGAACACGATTGATAAATTTAATAATTATAAAAAAACGAAGTGCTCAAAAAAAGCTATGAACAATGATAAAGTTTTCAAATACCTCTCAGAATATATAGAAAGGGCATACTAAATAAGATCCCAAATACTCAGTTATTGGGATAAAAACATGTAAATATATCACAATGGAAAGCCCACCTTAAGGGTGACCAAAGCGCTGTAAAAGTGTATGGTAGGCAGAAGCCAAAGCATTGATAGTACCGTAATTGGCCAGACCACCGCTCAGGAGATATTCCGCCAGCTGTGTGATGCCATTGTGGATGCCGGTTTACCATGGAAGAGGTTTGCTGGAATACAAACTGACGGAGCGCCATCAATGACAGGGAGGAGAAATGGACTGGTGGCACTTGTTCAAAGAAAACTGGAAGAGGAGGGTGTGGAGGAGGCCATTGCTCTGCACTGCATTATCCATCAGCAGGCCCTTTGCAGCAAATGCCTGAAGTTTGACAATGTGATGTCTATATTCTTAGCTCTTTCGGTAAAGTCACGTTGAAGGGAAACAATAAAATAATAAAATAATAAAAATATATAAAACAATAAAAATTCTCACGACGTTTCGACCATAACACAAACAGTCGTCATCAGGTGTGTCGGTTTTCATTTATTTATTTTTAAATGGTTTATTTATTTAAAAAAAACGTCAGTGCCACGCGCAGTGATTTGGCAGTTTATTTAGAAGGACTAGTCCATCTATGTTCTGAAAAGAGGAGGGGGGAGACGAAAAATTAATGTATGCTGTCTGAAAGCCACTGTAAGCGTGAACAATCAATTAAGACCTGAAATGGTTAATCAAATCTTTCCAATGATTGCTAAGCCAGAATCCATCTTCACGGTTAAAATTGTCTCTGTGCTTTTATATGTGGACAGCCTCATGAACGAATCTCTCATGGTAGCCAGACGGCTTACAAAGAACCTCTGTCTTGGAAAAGTCAATGTCATGTGAGCCTACTGAATTATAACAATGATCTGCCACGGCCGAGGTGTTGGTCCTACCGTATTTAAGGTCTGCTTTGTGTTCACGAATGCGGTCCGAGACATGGCGTTTGGTTTCTCACTTTCGTGAACACAAAGCAGACCTTAAACACGGTAGGACCAACACCTCAGCCGTGGCAGATCATTGTTATAATTCAGTAGGCTCACATGACATTGACTTTTCCAAGACAGAGGTTCTTTGTAAGCCATCTGGCTACCATGAGAGATTCGTTCATGCGGCTATCCACATATACAAGCACAGAGACAATTTCAACCGAGAAGATGGATTCTGGCTGAGCAATCATTGGAAATATTTGATTAACCATTTCAGGTCTTAATTGATTGTTCACGCTTAGTGGCTTTCAGACAGCATACATTAATTTTTCGTCTCCCCCCTCCTCTTTTCAGAACATAGATGGACTAGTCCTTCTAAATAAACTGCCAAATCGCTGCGCGTGGCGCTGACGTTTTTATAAATAACTAAATACACCGTTTAAAAATAAAGTAATGCAAACCGACACACCTGATGACGACCGTTTGTGTTATGGTCGAAACGTCGTGAGAATTTTTTTATTGTTTTATGTATATTTTATTTTATTGTTTCCCTTCAACGTGACTTTACCGAAAGAGCTAAGAATATGAATTACTGCAGTCACGAAAGCTTTAAATAAAAATGTGATGTCTGTCGTTGTGAAATGCATCAACCATATCAGATCCAGGGGCTTAAAGCACCGGCAGTTCCGCGCCTTTTTAGAGGAAATAGAGTCAGCATATGAGGATGTGCTCTTCTTCACCGAGGTACGTTGGCTCAGCAGGGGAAACGTCTTGAAGAGGTTTTTTGAGTTGAGAGCAGAAGTGAAAGCCTTCATGGAGAAGGATGGGATGGCTTTTCCTGTGCTAAG